AATAAGGTATTTGAATTCTGTCTGCTCCCTAAGGCTCAAGGGAGCTGATTCCTTCTATACTATTAAAAGGAATCACGTGCACTAGCTAGCTAATAAGTTTACTTGTCAAGTTAAGGGTCCTTTAATTATTAACATGCTAAGCGAGGCATGCCAAATGGCCCGTAAACTATGGTTTACGAATAAGCTTCCTTAACTACTATTACTATTACTACTATTAGCTAAGATCGATATAGATATATCGACACCGGCAACTTTCTTTTTAGTAAACAGTGCTTTGCTAATTATTATATCGATCGAAAAAAGAAAAAAGGTAATTAAATAAAAGAAAAACAATCTTTCTTTTCCTTTTATAATAGCTTTTCTACTTATTTATCGACTTGCACCCTTAAAGTATTAATCAAAACTAGCTTTTGCAAAAAGATATTAGCTTCGATTTTAATTATAGCATTAGTAAAGTTAGATTTGCTTTCGATTTAGCGTATCTTAAAGAGCTCTCGCCTTTCGTATGACTCTCGAATAGCTATAATATCGATCATTAAGCGCTTCTCTTTAATAGTCCTTAGTTTTATTATGCACTCGTAAAGCGAGTAAAAGTTAATGCATACGACTACGAGGAAGTTAAGGATTCTTAGCTAAGCCGTGATTTAAATAAAAATAATCGATATAGCAATAGCTATATCGATACTTAAGAACATCGCGTATAGCTTAAAAGCTAATACTGCTTTTATCACCTTCTTACACTTCTATAACACTTAATATAAGATATTACTCGTTAAAGTAAACTCGTTTTTACTTACGTAAGCTTTATTGCTAAAGATAGCTACGAAACCGATCTAAGAATTAAGGTTAGCGTTATTAGCAAACGCTTCGTTTACGAATACAAAGAGCTTCGCAATCTTTAAGTCTAAAAGCACGTAATAGATCCTTCGAATTAAATAATCGATTAGCTATTAGATTACTTTATTAAAAGCTTTATAGTCTTCGTCTTTCGGTTTTTAATGCTAAGCGGCTATCGATAAAGCGCAAGATGCCTTTAAGTAGCAAATAATAGCCAAATACGCTCTTCGGGCACGTTGCTTTAAATACTTTTTAGCCCGTATAGCTAAATCGAGCTTGATTATTGCAAGCCTCTCACCTTGCCTTTTTTGCTTAATTAATAGTCCGAACCCTTCTTTATCTAAGGATAGCTTGCATCTATTAAAAATCATTAGCTCGGCGTATATAAAGGTCTTTATTTCCTTGCTTTTTAGCTTAGATTTGACCAGCTCCTTCTCCTCCTTTGCTTTTATAGCTAAATTAATAACCATAAGAATATTATCCGTTTATAAGGCAGCTATTTTTAACTAATCCTTATTAATTAATATAAAAAGGCAAAAATCAAAGCTCGATTGCCTTATCTCGAGGTTATCCGTAAAATGCTTTAAAAAACGCTTATACTAATGCGTTCTTGCTTCGAAGATCTTATATAAAAGGCTAGTTATAAAGAACAAAGTGCTAAAAGGAAATCGATAAGTGATCTTTTTAAATAATTGCATAACGATTATTCGAATAAGCTTCGTGCTTAATTAAATATAAGCTTAAGTAATATCTTTATTACAAACTTAATACTCGTAGTCTTTTATTAAAAAGAAAGCCAAAGCATAATAAAGTCTTTAGCTCGCTCGCTGCACCGTAAATGACTCGATAAGTACTTTCGTTTTGCTTTTATTTTAAAAAGCTTAAACTATTATACGAGACTTCTCGTATAGCGTAAGTGTTCCTTTGCTTTTAATCTCATTAACAAACTTAGATTCGAAGATCTTAACGCTTTTAGCGCGTAAATCGATGCTCGAGATCACTTAAAAGATGCTTTAAGCTATTAATCTAGCTAATTCTTTTGCTTTAAACTTTTAAAATAATGCCCTAAGACTTTTAATGATTCTTTTAGCTCGTAGCTTAATTAAAAGCTTATAATCCTAGCGTTTCTTATCGGTAATCAATACCTCGAAGTCTTTAATAAATAAAACGTAAAAATCGCTTTTTTTTTTATCGAGCACGATCGAGATACTAAAATTATACTTTTAATAAAATATTTAAACTATTAATATTATTAACTTTTAAAGATTAGCAAGTTGAAGGTTAAGGAAGCTATTTATTAATTTTAACGAGCTTTTTAAATTAAGCGATCTCGATAGATTAAGCGAATATTAAAGTTTAAGCGAATTTCGTATTTCCAGCTCTTTTTCGCTTTTGCTTTAATCATCTTCCACTTCTTCTTTTACTTTTTCTTTTACTTTTGCTTTAAATACTTGCAATTCTTTTAGCAGCTTTTCAACTTTAAAGTAATAAGGTTTTATTAAAATTAACTTGAATTCCGTAAGCTTCGGACAAGCTATTATGCACGTATGCCCTTGCTTGCCAAGCAGCTAAAAAGAGCCCTTCTACCTTTAGTTTTCCCGCCATACGAGCACTCGTAAGCTAATAAAAAGGTCTAAAGTATGCTTCGTAATTAAGCCATTCCTCCTCTTAAGCGCGTCTTTAACTTGCCTCGTAGCGTAGCATTTTCGTACTTCCCTTATAGCTTTATTAATAGCAATAGCACGCTTTTAAATAAACGCAGCAAGTCGATCTTGCTCCGTTAGCCTCGATAAGGTCTTAAAAACGAAGAATATTGTCGGTATATCCATATCGACCTTAGCTAGCTAGTAGTAGTAGTTGGGGAAGCTCACCTATGAACCATGGTTCACGGGCCACTTGGCATGCCTCGCTTAGCATGTCAGCAGTCAAGGGACCCTTAACTTGACAAGTAAGCCTATTAGTTAGCTAGTACACGTGATTCCTTTTAGTCTTATAGAAGGAATCAGCTCCTTTGAATCTTGGGGAGCAGACAGAATTCAGATACTTTATTAATCGAGTGTTTTGTAATTGCAAGTACTTTGACGACCGTTACGACCTTACGAATATATATTCTTAATCGCTTAAAAGCAATCTAACACTGATTAGTGATTGAATTATTATTAAGTGATCAATCACAGAGAAGCTAGGACTCTATAGCGAGGATACCTTTTACTACGATACCTCTTTCCTTTTATAACGGAAGAGCGATTCCGTACCAAGTCGCTTCTTATACTACCGATTTTCTTTTATTCTTACGGAAGAGTGATTCCGAACCAAGTCACTTTTATACAACCTTTAAAGCTGTAGAGCCGCGCTTGCTACACATAGTAAACCCAACTAACACGATCGATCTACGTACGAGCAGACAACAACTATAGCCGATCGAGCAACTGGACCTTTAAGTGGGGAGTCTAGCCGACAAGGAGCAGTAAGGTATTATACCCTTCGAGTCTCATCACCACCCACGGAACCCCCAGCTATTTAGCTAAAAGGACCATTATACCCAGGACTCTTAAGCTTCTCGGAAGGACCAGACGACGAGATGTCGGGCATCTCATTTGACTTAAACGAGCTATTATACGCAAGGCTAGATAGTGAGATCACGGCTCGAGCGATAATGAACGACTTCCTGAATGCGAAGTGTAGAAGGCTGAGGGATTACGACTTGTGGAGCTTATTCCGGCACGCTTTCTTACGCTAGGATTAGACCAGTTTTATAATGACGAGGGACAATACGGGACGAGGCCTTAAGTTTACTACTTTTATTAGCCTCAGGGAACACTTGCTATCCAAAGGCGTGTGGTGCCCCTTAAAGCAAAGGGGCTACGCTAATGGGATGGTCAAGCTCTTAAACGACGAGCAGCAACATTAATAGACCTTCTAGGAAATAAAGGAGCAACAGGCAATACTTTTAAGCTTCGATTCAAGGTGGACCGAAAACCTTACGGACGACGAGGATAATACGCCTTAACCACCTTTACCACCTTTACGAAGTCTAAAAGGAAAGGAGAAGGAAGAGGGGGAAGAGATTCGGAGGTTACGCGAAGAGTTTACGAAGGAGAGGAGGGATATAAAGCAAAATATAAAGGTGATAGCAAAGCAAATAGCGGAATTACGGACTTACGCTATATAATCTAATGAAGAGCTACGACGAAGCACTTCAGCGTACTCGACGCCCTTAATTTATTAATCGCTACGCAATACGCTAATCATACAAGAGCTAAAATCACCTTAGCGGCCTTTAAACCCCTTTCTTAAAGGCTACACTTAGTTTTTTGAAAAGCCTGGACCGAGTAGCAATAAAAATAGTCTTGAGATTATTATCGGACCAGACAACACTCGAGGCTACGAAAGCTATACGCTAAAAGAAGACCCGCCAAAACCTGAAAGCATTTCGGACAAAATCAGCTCTCGCTAAGGATAGCGTGCAGATTTCCGTGCCTAACTTTAGCAACCCGAAGGGAGGATCTAGCACCCTCGGACGTACTGACAAGCTATTCACATCTCTTAAGAGGCCACGTATCAGCAAAAGAGAAACCAAAGGTATGAGAATCGCTAAGAGCGCGCCCAAGGGTACGGATATTATTAAGCTAGAGCTTCGGCTAGTGACTTAAATAGCCTTAGCGATCTTAACGATGACCGACGAAAGGGAAACGGAAGAGATTGGCAAGGAGATCGAGGCTACGGATACGGAAAGGGTAGGAACGGGCCCTTTGGACTATTAAAGGGATTCGGAAACGGACCCTTAAAGGACCCCGGATTCGGAAATAAGCTTCTTAAGGACCTTGGAAAAGGACGGACCACCGGTAACTATATCGGTAACCTTTTACCGATCAGACTATTGGCTAAGCATAACACGCTTGCGTACGGCACTCTAGGCGCTTTTGACGATAATAGTGACGATTTCCTTAAGCTAAGAGCAACTGACCTTCACTTAAGAGCAAAGGAGTTGGCTTTGTTTATAAGAAGCTTTCTTAAGGAACTGAAGTATTCGAGACTCGACGATGACTTTAAGACTTAATTGAGTATTTTCGCTAACTAAACAAGTCGGTACGGCTTGACATCCGACGACTATTTAACAGCGTTTTTAATTATGCTTACGAGAAAGGCTATAACTTTCTATTACAATCATGTGATAAAGGCTAGGCTTCCGACGTTTAAAGCAAACGCTATTGCTGTAAAAGACTACTTCGAGACTGACCACCGGCGGTAAACAAAATACGACCGCTAGAAGGAAATTTCGCTAGATTTGATCAAGAAAGAGAATCTAAGGACCTCGCTTAGCGAGTGCTTTAAGAAGCTCGTTAAAGAGCTTAAAAGCATTCAAAGCTTTTTACGACCAGGTTTAAAAGACGATCGAAGTCTTGTTAACAAGTTGTATTCAGCTTGTAAAAACGTGCTAAAGACTACGATTGCACGAATGAACTTTGCGTTTACCTTTACCGCCGCAGTTGCCGATATCCGCCGAGCAATTGCATTTGCAATTAAGACCTCTCGACTCGTTAAGGCGAGTAGAGCTTACGCGAGCTCTAGCGAGCTACACGATCACACTTGCTCTTACAACACTTTAGAGGCTGATTCCGATTTAAACGAAGAATACGAATGCTTTATTTAAGATCGCTAATACTTCGGAAGCACGAAGCTCATCCGAATAATCGTCGTACGACCATTTAAAGAGATCACTTATCGATTCTTCTTCGGCACTTTGTTTCTTATGACTAGCCTTTTATACGGCATCCTTAAGGCAAAGACGCATTGGTATAAGCGTTTTTCCGAGCACTTTATAAACAACTTCGGTATAAAGCAATCGAGCTTTGACTTTTGCTTCTTTGTGTCAACTAACAAAGATCAGTTAAGAATAGCTGCTTTATAAACGGATAATGTTTTTATGGTTGTCAATCCAGCTATAAAGGCAAAAGAAGAGAAGGAGCTGATCAAATCTAAGCTGAAGAGCAAAGAAATAGAGATCTTTATACACGCCGAGCTAATGATTTTCAATAGATGCAAGCTATCCTTAAATAAGGAAGGGTTTGGACTGTCAATTGGACAAAAGGGGCAGGGGGAGAGGCTTGCGGTAATCAAGCTCGATTCAGTTATACGGGTTAAAAAGTACTTAGAGCAACGTGCTCGAAAGGCGTATTTGGCTATTATTTGCTACTTAAAGGCATCTTGCGCTCTATCGATAGCTGCTTAGCATCAGGAACCGAAGGACGAGGACTACAAGGCCCTTAATAAAGTGATCTAGTGGCTGATCGATCACCTAACTCGAGGGATCTATTACGTGCTTTTGGACTTAAGGACGGCGAAGCTTTTTATGTTCGTGGATAGAGCGTTTGCTAATAACGCTGACCTTAGCTCTTAAATCGGTTTCGTAGTTATCTTTAACAATAAGGCTCACGTAAGTGAGAACGAGTTTATTCTGACGGGTAACATCCTTTATTAGGTGTCATAGAAGTGCAAGAGAGTGACAAGGGCAGTATTAGCCTTTGAGCTATACGCTATGTCTTTAAATATCGACATAGCTATTGCTATATCGACCACCTTTGCTTAAATCACAGCTTAGCTAAGAATCCTTAATTTCCTTATAATGGTGTGCATTGACTTTTACTCGCTTTACGAGTGCATAATAAAGCTGAGAACTATTAAAGAGAAGCGCTTCATGATCGATATTATAGCTATTCGGGAGTCATACGAGAAGCGGGAGCTCTCTAAGGTACGCTAGATCGGAGGCAAATCTAACCTTGCTAACGCCATAACCAAAATCGAGGCCAATTCTTTTTTGCAAGAGCTAGTTTTGACCAATACTTTAAAGGTGCAAGTGGACGAGTAGGTAGAAAGGCCGCTATAAGAGAAGGAAAGATAAGATTGTTTTTCCTTTGTTTGATTACCTTCCTTCTTTTTTCGGTCGATATAATAGTTAGCAAGGCACTGCTTGCTAAAAAGAGAGTTGCCGGTGTCGGTATATCTATATCGACCTTAGCTAGCTAGTAGTAGTAGTTGAGGAAGCTCACCTATGAACTATGGTTCACGAGCCACTTAACATGCTTCGCTTAGCATGTCAGCAATCAAGGGACCCTTAACTTGACAAGTAAGCCTATTAGTTAGCTAGTGCACGTGATTCCTTCTAGTCCTATAGAAGGAATCAGCTCCCTTGAATCTTAGGGAGCAGACAGAATTCAAATACCTTATCAACCGAGTGTTTTGCAATTGCAAGTACTTTGACGACCGTTACGACCTTACGAATATATATTCCCAATCGCTTAGAAGCAATCCAACAAATATAAAAACCAAGCTATTAAGTCTAGCTATATCGTTAATAGCTTTAATAGCTATTTAAAGCCGATCCTTTTTTAAGGCTTTTAAAAGCTTTTTTATAACGATTTTAAAAGCGCGTCGCACAAAAACGTAATAGCGTTCTATTAGCCCGACGCTATGATAAGCTTTTATAAGCATCTGCTTTAAAATGCTGCTAATATTTTTAAAATAGCTTCGAAACGTTGCTAAATTAAAATTAGTTTCGAAATCGTGCATTACGTTTATAAAAGGTTCGACGTAAGTATTAACTTAATATCGACTAAATCTTTTAAATAAATGCTATGCGGATATGCTTTTAAGAAAAGTAGCGGCTTAAAAATTAATAGAATCGCAAACGACGTATAATACGTTTTTGCTATTAAAGTGCATTACGTTTACGTATACCGTATTATTAAAATCAATATCGTCTTTAAGTCTAATATTAAACCTTTTCGAAAAGCGTTCGAATACTTAGCAATAGTAGCAAAACTTTTAAATATTATAAAGTAAATCTCGCTTAAATTCGTGCTCGGCCCTCTTAAGAATAGCAGCAAATCGACTTGCTAAAGAGTGGCTAAAACGCTTATAAATAGTCTTTAATTGTTTTTCCGTAAGATAGCAATAAACGGTCTCGCCTTCGGTACTATAATAAATAGCAGCGTGCTCTTTACTTAATAGCATTTATACGTGCTTAAATATCTTTATTATTAATATTTCCTTTTTCCTTTAAATTAACACGTTCCGTAAGTTATTTAAAATCACTTTATGCTTATCTATATTAATTAATAAAAATAAAAAAAGTACGTCGCTCTTTATAACGTAAAACTTTACTTAACTTAAAAGAGTATCTAAAATAATTGCTTTAATAAAAGTAGCAAAGCCGATGCTGTATTTAACGGATTTCTCTTTTGCTCGAGATGTATCTAATTAGACCTCGAAATACTTCTTTTAAAGTGCTCGTAATTAAAGCAAGCTAACGATAAAGAAATTAATTGCTTCGCTATTAATCATAAAGCTTATAAATACGTTTTTAAAGTACTTAAAAGCTATATAAATCTTTGCTTTACTCGCGAGCACGTTTTAAGTTTCGATTTAGCTAGTAAAAGCGTAAAATGCCGTTTAAATTTCCAATTATTTATATATTTCGTCACCGTTAAAAGTGCCGTAAATAATCACAAAACCTTTTAATATATTAACGTAGCTGCTCGATTCGAGCGGCTCGTTTAATAAGCTTGCGATAAACTAATCGAATTCTTTCGTAGATATAAATAGCACGCTTTTAATCGATATTACGTATTAAAAGAATTTGCTTTTCGTTATCTTTTTTACGTCTTTAAAAGCTTAAAACTTAGCGACGGATGCTTTTCTCTCGTCGAAAGTATAATTAATGCTTTAGCAATTTAGCTTTTTGCAAACAAAACACTTTTTCTTACCTTTAATAGCTTTAATAGCTTTCTTACTTCCGAAGTATTAACGGTCTTAAATAAAGCATTCGTATTTTTCGTTTAAATCGAAGTCAGCTTTTAAAGTATTATAAAAGCAAGTGTGATCGTATAGCTCGCTAAAGCTCGCGTAAGCTTTAGCTTTAACGAAAGGTCGAAAAGTCTTAATTACAAAAGCAATTGCTCGACGAATATTAGCAATTGCCGCGATAAAAGTAAAAGCAGAATTCATTCGTGCAATCGTAATCTTTAGCACGTTTTTATAAGCTAAATACAACTTATTAGCAAAACTTCGATTATCTTTTAAACTTAATCGTAAAAAGCTTTAAATGCTTTTAAGCTTTTTAGCGAGCTTTTTAAAGCACTCGTTAAGCGAAATCCTTGCATTCTCCTTTTTAATCAAATCTAGCGAAATTTCCTTTTAGCGGTCGTATTTTGCTTGCCGCCGGTAATTAATCTCGAAGTAATCCTTTACCGCAATAGCGTTTGCTTTAAACGTAAAAAGCTTAGCTTTAATTATATAATTATAATAAAAAGTTATAGCCTCTTTTATAAGCATAATTAAAAACGCCGTTAAATAATCGTCGGAGGTTAAATCGTATCGATTTGCTTAATTAGCAAAAATCTTTAATTAAGTCTTAAAATTATCGTCGAGTCTTAAGTACTTTAGCTTTTTAAAAAAGCTTCGCGCGAATAAAGCTAATTCCTTCGCTTTTAAATAAAAGTCTATTGCTCTTAGCTTAAGAAAATCGTTTTCATTATCGTTAAAAGCGCTTAAAGTGCTGTACGCAAGCGTATCGTACTTAACTAATAATCGGATCGATAAAAAATTATTAATATAATTGCCGGTTATAAATCTTACCCTTTTAAAGTCTTTAAAAAGCTCATTTCCGGATCCGAAGTCTTTTAAAAGTCCGTTACCGAATCCTTTTAATAGCTCGAAAAGGCCGTTCTTATTCTTTCCGTACTCGTAGCTTCGATCTTTTTGCTAATCTTCCCCGTTCCTTTTTCGTCGGCTATCGTTAAGATCTTTAAAGCTATTCGAGTTACCGGCTAAAGCTTTAGCTTAATAATATCCGTATCCTTAAGCTTGCTCTTAGCGATTCTTATACTTTTAGTTTTTTTTTATTAATACGTAGCTTTTTAAGAGATATAAGTAGCTTGCCGGTACGTCCGAAAGTGCTAAATCCCTTTTTTAAGTTGCTAAGGTTAAGCACGGAAATCTGCACGCTATTTTTAATAAGAATTGATTTTATCCGAAATGCTCTTAAGTTTTAGCGGGTCTTCTTTTAGCGTATAGCTCTCGTAGCTTCGAGTATTATTTAATCCGATAATAATCTCAAGACCTTTATTATTATTGCTATTAAGCTTAAGCTTTTTAAAAAACTAAATATAGCTTTTAAGAAAAAGGTTTAAAAGCCGCTAAAGTGATTTTAGCTTTTCTTAAATGATTAACGTATTGCGTAACGATTAATAAATTAAAAGCGTTAAGTACGTTAAAGTGCTTCGTCGTAGCTTTTCGTTAAATTGTATAGCGTAAATCCGTAATTTTGCTATTTACCTTGCTATTACTTTTATATTTTGCTTTATATCTTTCTTTTTTTTCGCGAACTCCTTGCGTAACCTCCGAATCTCTTCTTCTTTTTTCTTTTCCTTTTCTTTTAAACTTCGTAAAAGTAATAGAAATAATTAAGGCGTATTATTTTTATCGTTCGTAAAGTTTTCGGCGGTCCACTTCGAATCGAAGCTTAAGAATATTATTTATTGCTCTTTTATTTTTTAAAAAGTCTATTAATATTGCTGCTCGTCGTTCAAAAGCTTAACCATCTTATTAGCGTAGCCCCTTTGCTTTAAAGGGCATTATACGCTTTTAAATAGC